AAATATATATAACTTAAAAGCAAACCAATACAAACTGAAACAATAACCACGGAAACCGAAAAACAGAAAACAAAAACAAATAAAACATTACACTATGAAATCTTATACCTATAATATAATTTTAATCAACTATTGAGTATTCTATACAGATTTATTTGAACAGCCAAAAAAATATAAAACCAGCAACTTAATAAAATGTCAAGTTGCACATTACAAGTGAATGGTAGTCAAATGCCTTGCTTACAAGACCAGGACCAGTAGTATGGGTTGTGATCCCGTTTTTGGAGTAAATTTGGTTCCGGTAGTATTTCCTAATTTATATATGGACAAGGAACCTATAATTTGTCTTTCTATATTTAATTATAAACTGCCCACCCAAGCCAGGAATGACACCAGTGTGGCACCCAAGGCAATTCCTCCATTAACACTCGGCCAAATATTGTAAGGATGATTGCACAGAACACCAGTGTTTAAATTTTAAAATACAGCATTTCATTTTTTCCCCTGGGATAGTTTCAGTACAAAACGTAATCTGTAATTTTTGAATTGTTATTACAACTCGGTGGGAAAATAAATGATTAAATTTGTACCCAAGGTTCGAGTACTATTCAGTTTATTGTTGTTTATAGTTTGACTATCAATAATAAAAAAAAAAGCTAACAATAGGATAGCTTCTTTTTGAAACAGAAACAAGAATAATACAACCTACTGTATCGGTCAATAGATCTGTCTGATACAGTGAAAGGATGTTACGTTGTTCATTGAACTCTGGAGAGGGGAGGTACAGCAATTTGGTTGTTAAGATACTTGCCTTTGATTCCCTGGGTTTTGGGTTCAATTCCAACACATTCTAGGAATTTACAAGTACTTGATTGATTTTTTTTTTTTTAAGATCCGTGATCGAAATAAAGGGGAAGCACTTGAGATTGTTGAAATTCTGCCAGGCCAAAACACTTCAAGAGCCCAAAGCCAGGCCAAGAAACTTCAAAAACCAGGGCAAAGAACTCCAGGTGCCCAGGGCCAGGCTAAAGCACTTCAGACACCTACGGCCAGGCCAAAAGAGTCCACAGCTAGGCCAAAAAAGGTGACCAAGTGTAATATATTGCTTCAGCCACAGACAGGCCAAGGTTTACACTTGAGGTTATAATATTTTGTTCTATTTTCTATGGGTAATTTTATTATTTTATTTAAATTGAAATTATTTCCTGTTAACTGACATCTCACTATGAGCGGTACAGAATGTGAAACATTTGCAAATATATTAGGTGTCGTGTCACATCAGTAAAAGAAAGCGAGAAACATAAACAAATCTGGAAAAGTTATTTTTGTTGATATGGATGGACCAGTGTATGATATTAAAAATATTGATCATATAAACAAATAAAACAATCAAGAAGTTGGAGGGGTTAATCAGTTTTGCAAATTTACAGTATTTTTCCTCAGAAAATTCTCAAATTGATTACCAGTAAGAATATAGAGGTCTATGTAATGGGTAAAGGAATATATTTATATGTAGGTTAATTTGTGAGAATATACAGTTTTTTTCTCTCTTATACTTAATATTTAGATTATTAAAATCCATCCACTAGTAACTTTTATTATGTACGAGTTGCCGTGATGATTAAATGTAATTAAAATAAAAGCGAGTTTAACAGAGTTCAGATAAGGGTGAGTGAGACAACCAAACATTTTTTTTTATAGATTTTTAATACACCGTAAAACTTCATAAAGTGAAGGTTTTCTTTAGACATTTTCATAATTCTATAAATGTATGTAGCTACTGTGTATTGTTGCGTAAGCCCTTAAGAGCACAGGATAGCCTCAACCCCCTTAGAACCAGACTAATCAAATTTTTAAAAAGGAGTAATACTGTAAAATAAATTATGAATATGTAGACATATATAGGTTATATTACTTTGAATAAAATTTTGAATGTCACAACTATATACCATTCTATAATTTTAAAATTTAGTAAAATCACAAATTGCATAAATCAAACTGATTCACATACGATTTACAGTGACGTTATGCCATCACACCACATTCAATTTCGTAATTACAATTTTATTAGGTGGCAAATGTTTTATATATATTGAAAACAATTTTCTGAACAAGTTATTTTCTGATACAAATACAGAAACTCAAAAACAACAAGAAATATCACAGAAAAAAAGACTGAATTATGGTAGATGCTAAGTGTTGTATCACAATATCACTGTAACAAATTCAATTTCACAATCATAACTTGGATTAGGTGGCACAAGTTTTTTCAAATACAGTCTTTGGGAAAGCAGTAAAATATAAAAAGTGTGATAGATGATATCAATATTTGTTAGACAGGTTGCTTGTTACAAAATGGAAAATTTGTTACCTGATAAGGAAACAAAACATGACAGGTAAAATATGGTATAATGCAGGAGTTTTTTCAAAGAGAAATTTTTAATCTAAAATGGACACAAAACAATTGATCTGACGGAACTGATTGGTCGAACAAGTATGAACAACTGATGCTTTACATCTGTTTGACCGACATGATGAGGCACTTACTCACGTACATGTCCTAAAAAGTGTATTGCAAACCATCGGCCGTCGTCCGCTGAATGATGGCCAAATTTCACACACTGTACTGTTTTGGACATCCATTTTAATTTCCTTGGCGTAACTCAAACCGGACGAAGACAGCCGCAGTGCCCCATAAGACAGGTGGCTATGTAAAAACCAAGTCTCTCCCATTATTTCGTCCCCTTGACCCTAAATCTGATATATGAAATAATATCGGCCTAAATGGAAATTCAATTTTCGGAACAAACTAAATGACCTCAATACGGTTGTCTGATGTGGTTAGGAGTTAGGTAACGTCCGAACTCGCCTACTAAAAATTATTTAATAGCCATTTAAAAAGTCCACAGCAAGATTTTTGCTAATGCGCCGAGTCACGTACATACCTGGGAAATTTTATTACAATAGTTAAAAACTCATTGAAATAAAATACTGGTCTTATAACAATCACAATGTGATTTAGAATTAAAATCTTATGTTTACCCTTGTTTCATGATGGGTTGCACTTTCTGGACTTAATTCATAAATAGTTTTTGACATATTTCATAATTTCATAATTCTTATGCGAGTTACTAGTTGTTAAACAAGGTCAGGGTGATAAAAGTTTATTTTTTATGCAAGTTATATTGCAACAGTCTATAAATTTCAATAAAATCCACATATTTTAATGAGGTAAGCCTGTAAAATTTAGAGGAAAAATGGAAAAGCTGATTACCTTTTCTAACCATTTTCTTGATGTCCATATTTTCTCAATATTTGTATAAAATATTTGCACATATTTTATTTAATATTTAATATTTAAAATATTTTTATATATAATATTTAAATTATGTCATGAGTAGATGCGTTACAATTTCTTTGCTTTTGTAATTTGATGTTTTTTGGTGTTGACGTGTGTATGCCAGATTCAAGAAACATTTCTGTTTATGTGTTTTTATATGTGAATAGACCAATAAATCTTATCTTATCTATCTTATCATACCTATCATCTTAACATTGTTCAAATTTTGGTGTATTAACATCAGTATTATTAATATTTTTAAAATGTGTGGTCAGGCTTTACGCTTCCAAGCCAAAACATGAGTTTGGCCGTTTGTTTGTTTCTCTCCACACGGGATTATAAGTTGGTATCTGGGAGGTGTAAATGCTAAAGCAAATTATTTGCGGCAAAATTATGAATGACTGTGTACCTTAATTGTTTGATCCAATAACGGAGGTAATAATGCTACAGTTCACAAAGTTGCTAAGCTCTGATCACACTATTTAAAAAACCTGGTATGCCCATATATATTCATGATGTGCCTATTATATGGT